CTGACTAATTGAATTTTAAAATTCAGTTGAAGGAAAGCTTCTCCTCTTCATGTGTGACCACTTGAATTAGTCATTTTTGCGTCTAGCTGGAGCATTTTGTATGCTCATGTTGTGCTTTTGGCTTACTCACTGGCAGCCTGATGCTACCAATTGCCCATAAGGAGAAGTTTCTAATCCGCAGGCTGTAGCCCCTGGAAGGGGAGCCCTGCACTGCATGGAGGGAGTACAGCACAGTGTCTCCACACACTACCCCATACAGAGCTGTTGCAAGGGAGATTTTATCTCCTATTATAGCAATAGGAGATTTTATTACCTAATACCAATATGCTGAACATATCGGTACCAAAGTATCTAACTCATAGTTCATTAAGTTGATTAAGGTGATCTTGCTGTGTAAATATATGCTACCATGGCCTGCCAAACATAGAGGCAGGCAGCCTTTTTGGTCTACCCAATGAAGGAGTCTGCCATATAACTTGGGATTTTGCCGGGGGAATGGAGAGGAGCAAGAAAGGGCTTGATGTCAAGTAGATGCAACATCTGCCTGTGTTAAATTTGGAAAATGTTAAAGAAGTTAAATGTCGTAATGAAGACTTATCTATTCCTGCTTTCCCTTTCCTTTCCTCAAAGAGAAGCAAATCAATGAAGTTCTTCTAAATGAGGCTCTACTGAAGATGCTTTTCAATAAACTGATTGGAAGAGGGCGCTTGCTGTACAATCCATCTGACAGTGTACAGTAAATCTGAATTAATCATCCTTCATCCCTTTTATAGTTAGTGAAGATCCAGTCAATATAGTCACTGACTCTAGGGCATGAATTGGCTTATTTTAAAATGGACATATAATAAAGGTCAGGGGAATCAAATGGCTATAAGTACTTCTTTTTTAAAAAAAAAATGATTAGGTAAAGTATGCCCTCAAAATCAGGTTCACAGCTGAAGAGAAAAGATATCTTTTTGAGGACACCTTCATCTCACACAAAACCCCATATTTGTTTAAATATGAAACAAACATATTTAAGGTTGTTTTGTTTTCTTGCATAGAGGGGGCAAATCCTGTGATTTCACTGGAGCTGGACAGAGGATCCTCCTGGAGCAGGACTCTCCTTGTGCCGGTGGGCAGGGATGATCTCTAAGCTGGAGGGTGACGTTGTGCCTGACAGTCTGCTTAATCACAAGCATTTCTAAACGCCTCATTCTTAGGGCTTTCTTCTTCCAGCAGTGCTGCAATGAGAATGGAGGTCTGCAAGAAGCCCAGCATAGCTCGTTTCTCTTAGTAACCAATGGACCTGCAAAACCATCCACTCAAATATTCCTGACTGGGCCAAGTGACAGATAACTTTGCTAAAGGAAACAAATATTAGCTGTCAAAAAATGCATCAGACCTGCCCAGGTTAGTGGAGCCTATGAACAGTGCCAACCTCTACCCTTAAGCACTCAGTAAAGCTCTCGCCGTGCTCTCTAATAGAGCAAAACCATTAAGTTGTCCCTGTTGCAATTTAGATCACAGGAGAGACTTCCACAGATTCTTTCAGGTTAAAATAACTGGTATAAAGAGAGTAGGCAAAATTATTCCACTGTAGCTACGTGCTTAATTATATGGAATACTGCATAAATTGTCAAGTGCAAAGAATTATTCTGATAAATTAAAATACTAATTAAATAGGCTATTGCAGATTTTTGAGAACATTATAGGGCTCCGCTTCTTCAGGTAATTTGCATATCCTTCATCTAGGAATTTAATTTAAAAGCTTTCTTTTTTTGTGTGTTTGGAAACCCTTTTTGTTTCAGTGGGAGATTAAAAAAGGGATTTATATGTTACTGTTTCTTTTTTTTTTTTTTGAATAGCTGTTTTTATTATGCCTCTTTGCTGTCGAGTTTGCCAGTTCTCCATTAGTATTTCAGGACTTTAAGCCTCTGGCTCTAATAATCACCTTTGCTGGAATCTGCATTGTACCATGTTACCCAAAATTTTCTTTTCCTATTCCTAAAATTTCCAAGATACATATCATCTGCTGTATATTTACATTATAGTAAAAGTTAGCAGGTAGCAAATGTAAATACTTCAAAAATTTAGGACCAATTTTCAGAGGATGAGTAGGACTGCTTCTAAATATCTGGATTTGCTTTACCACCACTTTTTCTTATCTATTGTCTATTGTCTACCTATTATTAAACACCAATCATAGTTATGGGTAGTGAAGTAATTATATTCACTGTTCATCTTCGGATAACTGCTTGATATGTGTTTCGTGCTTCAACCTTAGCACTTCCAATTTTGACAGAATTTTTGACCTTCCTCAATTGTTCATGGACTAAGGTTCCGCAAATAAATGTGGTAAAATATGCTCCTATAAATGTCTGGAGTGAACATCTCAAAGATGAACTGCTGTGGGCTCTCTCTGCATCCTGACAATGACCAAGTTGGACCATTTCAGGTCATGGTTTGCTCACTATCACATCCAGGCCTCCCAATTTTGCCAGGATTTGTGTGAGAATGGTCTTCAGAGCTGTGCTTTGTGTTTTCCCCTATATCAGGGGGCAGGGAAAAGAGGTGGCCAACTATACTTTAAAACCAAAGCTTCAGTAATTAAAGTCTGCAGGAATCTTCCAAAAAGGAGATCAGTCAAACAGGTAATATAATTACACAGTTCAGCAATAGGGCAGACCCAATTTTTCCTACAAAGTGTTCATATGATAGAAAATTATACCCTGGGATTTAAGCTTGTGTGTTTACTTATATTCCTTTTATTTTGCAATATTCCTTTTATTTTGCAACCACAGCATTGCACAGTTTTACTTATCCGCAGCTACCAGTGAATCAGGTGTTAGACAGTTCAGTTTCTCTGAAGGAGTCAATAGAGCTTTCTGGTTTTTATAGCTCTTGTGAATCTTTGCATTTGTCAGAAATCTACCTTTAATATGTATGCTGGATATGAGACTGTCCGTGTGGTAACAGAGAACATCTATGGGATGAAATGGCACATCTGCAAAGGAGGGTGCCAGCAACACAGCACGGCAGGTGCTGAACATGAGTGTTGGTGAAGAAACATAGTTCAGAGGATGGAGCTAAAGACTTGAAAAACTTGTTTGCAAAGATTTGCTTATTTTGTGAAACTCGTGCTGGACAATATGTGCAATGCAATGACGCTATGGCCTCAAACACAGCTTCAATCCACGTAGTCTAGGCATGCTGTCCTTTCCCTTCTTCATCATCTTCCTTTCTTGTGCACAACAGTCTTGCTGATCTGTGTATCTATAGGAGCACAGTTGGCAAGGAGCTACATTCCAAGATACATAGAAAGTTTAGACTCCTAATGGTCACTCTAATCCTCTGCCACCTTTGGGGTGCTCTAATCTTCTGACCACCTTTTGCTCTCTACTTTTTTCTGCTTCTGTTTCAGTATAAAATGAAGATAACTGTATTCACAAAACTTACTTTGCTGTGACTCAGTATGGACTAAATAAATTTGTTAGTGTGTAAAGCACTGTATAAGTAGTAAATTGCATGGCTTAAATGTTTTGGTATGCGTGAGCTCATGTTCCTATCAGTCTGACAGGTAGCATATTGCAAGACCAAAAAAAAAAAAAAAGTGGGTCTACAGGATAGACAGAGCTTTCCTATCCATTTAAATAATGGGAAAAATTAATCTCTTATAAAATCAGTCAGAAAAGTGTCTCTGTGTTAGAATTACATGATTTTTTACTTCTTCAGTTTTTGCACATACAAATTCTTTTTAAAATCAGGAGACATTTGGTATATATAAGGTGAGAATGAGCCCTAATGACACAACTCACCTCTAAAATAAATGAGAGTCATTTGTCTTGCACTTTGGCGAGTTGAGTGAAGCAGTATCTCGCAATAACATTGCTTCTAAGAATTGTCTGCTGCTCTGTGAACTGTTTTGAACATATGCTAAATAACAACAGTTAATTAGATTTTTTTCAAAAGGAAAGAAAAATATGTGAACCTTCATTATTTTACTGCAAGTTTACCATGTATAGTATATTCCAGCCTACTTGCTTCTTGTGCTTTCTTGGAGGACTTCATCCTTTAGCCAACTGAAATGGAGAAGCTGAGTCTACCCCAGTTGTCCCTGTAATCACAGGCACCCCACATGGAGGGTGACTCATGCTATTAAAATACCCATCTCTTTCTTTGGCTACAGAGAGAACCTGTATGACCAGCTTGGATTAGATAGTCATTAGACAAGGATAAAGCTAGGAATGTTTAATAAGGTTCTAAGGTTTAATTTCTACTTTAATAAATAGTTTAATAAATCATCAGGTGCCTTGTTGTCGGCCATGCCTCCATCAGTTTGCACGACAGTTTGGCAGTTGCATAGCCAAACTCTTCGCACCAGCAACAGAGTGAACTTACCCATAGGAACAACTGGGGAAGAATCTCTTCTTTGTGCTGTCCAAGCCTTGGTTGGACCTTGTTTTGTGAGCCTGTGAGCGCACACAGTCCAAAATTACGTGAAGATTATATGAAGAATTTAACTAAGGTATAAGTTTATGCACAGGAAAAATCTCAGTTTTATAAAATGTTGTGTGTTGCACCCTGACATTGAGAGATAAATTATTTGCCTTATGTACTGGGTAGGATTGTATCATTATCTGGTATACATCCTATTACTGCTGTTGTAATGGTGAGGTGCTGTTGTGCTAACAAGACAAGGTCTTACTGAAGGAAAGATGGTGCGAATTCTTCTGGGCCATTCTTGAAGCGAAGAGTGATGTAGTGCATACAGGGTAGCAGAACTGGTTTGGCTTTCTTTTTCCCAGAATAAAGAACAATTAATAACATACTCATCCATTCGAAAGCACCAAATAGCAGAGCTGCTATCAGAGAAATATCATCCATAGATCACATAACTAAGAATTGCAGTGAATTTATTGATTGAGAGTAGAATGAAGGTTGGTTGTTGTGTAAACATTGCAAAATCATGCATATTTCAGCTTTCTTCATAACTCTTACAATCTTAATTTCCCTTACAGCTATGAACAAAGAGAAGCTTGAAGAAACAACTGGACTGAAAATTCTGCAGACAGGCGTGGGGGAGGTAAGTGGCATGGAGACAATTTATACTCTCAAAATTATTTTATTTGGGGGTTCTTTTTTTTTTTTTTTTTTTTTTTTGCTTTCTGTTTTTTTGTGTGTGAAATCCTGGAGCTCGTGAATGTTTGTGAGCTACCAGTTTGATAGTGCTAAAGGCCTTTTTATGATACAGTCGCATCTGTCAAAATACAATCTGCTGCACAAATAGCACTGCATCCCACAGAGAAAAAAATAACCATCCTTGTGAGGAAAGTGCAGCAAGCTTTAAGAAATGCAGTTTCTAGCTTTGTTGTATCACAGGAGCAAAATCCCCAAAGATGAGCATAGCAACTGAAGCTGTTGTATGATTCCCCTTGGTTTTGATGATGTACTATCTCATATAGATCAATGGAAGCTTAAATTTGGGATCTTCAGATGTTAGAGAGAATCTGTCAGTGAAAGACTTGCTTATTTCGGGTGTAACTTGAAATATAAATAAAACATGTGTCTGTTATTATGGTGATATCACTAAGCAAAAACTCCACTAAGCAGTTCATCATTTATTAATAAAGATGATGCTATCTGCTAAGAACCTTGTATGAACTACAGTTGATTGCTAATTCTCATGCTACTTTTGTGTACATAGTTTTGTTTTATTTTTTTCCTTTTCATTTAATAATTTTGCTAGTTTTGAATGCTTACAGCATTAGATAAATGCTTTTTTTTCTTGTTTTTATGTTATTCTCAGTACTAAGAATAATGAATGACTAGCTTGTAACTGAAAGAACTACCTTTTTTCTTCTACTACTACTGACTTTCATTTTTGATATTTCTCATTTTTTATCAGTTTATCAGAATAGGAGCTTATCTTGCCAAGATTTCTGAGCTTGTTTGATAATTTTATTCATATTATTAAAAGAGTTAGTCCTAGAGAGGTAGCAACACTGAGATGTGCTCAGATTCTCAAGTTCAAAGTTGTAATAGTTTGATTTTGGAAACAAGCATAGCTAAGATCACCAGAAAATGAAAACCAGCCTTTCTTCTTACCAGCTACTGACTGAGCTGTATATTGAAGGGATGGATAGTGTGTCCTGGATTCTGAGAGTGGATATGCTCTCAGATTGTGGACTGACTTCAGACCAGCCTTAAACTTGCATCTGTGCTATTTCCAGCCCTGGTTTCCACAAAATGGCAGTGAACCAGGACTATGGCAGGCACCATGGAAGCTACATCCAGTACAATTTGACCCCTGGAAGGCAACGGGACGTCTTGTGCTAATGAAATGCTTCCGTGTATCTGTCTGATTCTAAATCTTCTGAAATCACTGAAAGGATACTAGCTGACTTCAAAGAGATTTAAATCAAAATCTCAGGTCCCTGCTTAACTTCAGACTTTTATCTTTAAAGGAATTATTATCTTATAATCTTTAAAGGAATTATCTTATCATGGTCATTGGAGAAAGAAAGCATTTCCAGATGTTTGAAATAGAAGTCAGGTGACAACCTGCTAAGTACTTCATTAATCCGAGTTGTAGTAACAGGGTTGTTGTAACCAGGGTAGTCCTAAGAATGTACTGCAGATAAAGCCTAGAGGAGTTCCTGGCTTTTTCAGACCAGCTAAATAAATATAATCAGGACAAATGGACAAGGCTAGCGTTCTCCCCGGCCTGGACCCTGCACTGGGTTTACTAGAAGTCATCATTTGTCACTGCAGAATTCACCTCTCATATATTTGTACCATCGTAGTTTTAAAAAAACCCTACTGCTTCAGCTTGGATTAATAAAGACTTTGACAGATGATTGTGTTTTACACTCTGCCAAATATGTATTCTTAGAAGGCAAAATGTGAAAATGAATTAACCAAAGGGAAGCAGACATCTGAGGCCTGAATATATTCTAGGTTACATTTGAGATATAGTGATCAACAGTGAAAAGAACCAAGTGGTTTGGAATATTAAAATGACGGAAAAGCATTTATTCAGCTGCTTATATATTTTGTTGGATGTGAATTCTCCCAGCTGTGTATGTCCCCTTTTAAAGTCTTATCAGTTATGACTGTGTACATAATGAATACATTTCTGTAGAGCCTTACCAGGTTACATGCTGTAACCAAGCTGCTTCTTTGTTGATAGGATATCAGATTAGGTTTATTTCAGGTTACATCTAACTATGTTAATCCAGTTTAGCAGTTCATTTTTGAGTCACCTTGGTGTATAACACCATTAAAATAACAGAAAGTACATATTCTACTAAAATGAAGGCACCTTTTATTGAATTAGGAGTTCTTCTGCTCAACACAGTGTGAATATAATTAGATGTAATGGTAACCATAAATCAAAGGCAAGATGCTCAAATCAAAAGTACTTAGAATAAAAAAAGACTTAGCATTTTTACTTTCAGATTGAGAAATGTGCTTTTGGTTGGACAGTAGATCAGATTCACGACTAAATTAATCTTCAGCTGCAGGGTTGTAAAATGGTAAGGATTGTTTGTGTATAGCAAATTTCCTATCTGAAATAACCCAAAAAGAATAACTTAGGTACAGGTGGTAAATGGAACAGCTGTAGCAAGCAGTGCAGGAACTGTTCTAAGATCAGCAATAATTTGCGTGCTACTCTGGACAGTGGAAACTGCTTTAGGTCAGGATGGCTGATTAATAACATTTATGCCTCAGAAAGAAACATGTAGATACCAGTGACTAATCAAGCACTAGGTGTGGCTGAAGGAAATGGTTTCACTCTCTGTAGAGAAGGGAAATGCCTCTCAGGGCTCCTCAGTCTCTCTCAAGAATGGCATTTCAAAAGCAACAGCAGATGATAAAATTCACCCCATGCTTACTGAGCCATTCAGTCAAGTCTGAGGAGGGCTGCTGAATTCTTTCTATCCTGCTGCATAAACATGTGCTATATAGTCATTAATGACATGGGTAATAGTCTGAAGTTTACCACAGTTACAATGCACTTGATCATCTTTTATGTCATGCAAAAGATTTCCACATCCTCAGTGCATTTTTTACATACAGCTAAGCTCAGCTGCATTTTGCCAAGGTAAAGTGAGACCAGGCACTATTTTAGCAAGATCAAAAATGAACTCCTATTCTGAAACATCAACAGATATTCATATTTCATGATGTTGGCTTGAAAAATTTCTACATTTCAAGGTTTGGATGATATAGTGCAAACTACTGCCTGAACCTTAGGTAAACAGAATTTCTTTTAGGTTTTTGTGGAATGACAGACCTTGCTGGTACTTCCACAGTGCACCTGTTCAGCATTTGCTGGCAGAATATTCAATAGTCCAGGGAGTTGAGAGTTGGAACAGAGTTTGATGTGCTGCATATCTCTCTAAAGGTGCTAATTATTTTGGCATCTATTTTATTTGTAAGGGTGCTGTTATACCAGAAATCCAGGTAGAACTCTACTGTAAAGAAAAACTGTCTGTATCAAAATCTTGAGCGTACTAGTACTGTATATCACATTTCTGCCACTGAAGCAATGATTATCAAGGCATTTATTTTCTGTTTGGAGTTCTCCAGCACCAGTTTCACAACTCTGAAACTCATATATGTTAGCCCTTAAAGACTTTTTGGGTGGCTGTCATGCATGAAGTTTGTGCTACCCAAATTCATCATGTGCTTTTCACACCTGTCTGTTTATTCAGCAATCATGAAGAGACTTGGAGGTATTTGGGTCTGACCACTCACAGATAAAATAAATCTCAGCAGTCCTGAGGTCATCTTCAAAAGTTAAGGAAGCTCCTCTAGCTGAGTATGAATGCTAGCATGACATTATTTCTGTGTATAATTTTCATCATACCGTAAAAAATACCATTCTAGTAAAAAGCCTGCAAAGCTAAGTAGCACTCGGCTAGGACCTGTAACTGTTTTCCAGGCACCCAATATGACAGGGACCTTGACTTTTACAAAGGTAGAAGTTGAAATTACTGCTCTTCATAGCCAAGCACAAGATATCAGGGTCAACATTTGATCAAATTTGAATTTTTTAATTCATCTAGCCTTAATATCATTAAAAAAGCAGTGAAAGAATTTGGAAGCCTGATTATGAGGACTATGCCTGACTCCTGCTGAGCTGTGGATCCAGCGTGGTCCAGACCTCCAGTCCTACACAGAGGCAAGTGCCCATCTAGCCTCATCCTCAGGAGTTTCTCCCCAGCTTATGGGAGCTCAGCAGGTACCAAGAACCATACCAAGAACCATGGCCCGGAACAGAAGGAACTGGTTAACTCAGAATTCCTTCTAAATGCTTTCACAATTCTTTTAACATTTTCACGTTTTCTTTTCCCTTAAGCAGTTTTGAATTATTATAACAGCTCAGTGCTTTGTAGTTCAATTCCAAGCTGAACTCAACAGTGACCAGAGCTGTTCAGATTCAATTTCAGTCCAGCTCCAGTTTAAGAAAATTTCAAATGATAGCACAAATTAGGTTACAATGAAATGGAAAAATAACTGTTTAAGCCACTTTTTGGTTTAAATTTGTTTTCAACAACCATTTTCAAAATAAGAGGTCAGGTGCTTCAGTGACTCAAGAAAGCATAATGATTCAAATCTGTTTTCTGGGCTAAGATGCTGTGATTTGAATTATAAATAATGTCCAAATCAAGGCCTGAAACAAACCCAGCACTTCTCTGTCCTGAACTGGTAAAACAGCACCAGCCATGGAATTCATTATTTTAAATTAACTCTTCCAATTTCTGAGCAGAGCTGCACAAAATGCACTCATCACTCAAATTTTAACATTGTAGGATTTGAATCATATTTCTGGTATTATGACAGACATAAGAAGTGGAATAGATTTCCAAACCAAGTAGAAATAACTAAATCAAAATATATGTGAAATGAACACTTTTCTGTATAGCTAGATGTTCTAAAATAGAGCAGTGATATTTTGACACTCTTCAGAGGATTCTCAGTTATAGATATTTTGATAGGTGTAGAATTATGTTGACATTGCATAAAGTAGTGTTATTACAATAAAGAAAAGGAGTCTGTATTTAAAAATTCTAGTGGAACTAGAGGACATGGTAAGACACGTTCTAATGATGTGAAAGATTCTTTGAGGCAGGAGTCAGATTTCTAAATTATCATGAGCCTTATTGTTGTCAGATTTTGTCATCAATATCCATGCTTCCAGATTTGACCTAGAGTGGTATCAGAATCCATAAAAAATAGAAGTTTGTATAAAACGTGACAAATCATTTGCTACTGCTGAAAAATAAAATGTCAGCTTCTCTTCTGATTTCCTCTGACTGCTCAGTAGAGTTGCTAAGGGTTGGCTTTTGGTTTGTAAAGCCCAAATTAGCCTGGGACCCACACCAGCTGGCTTTCCTACGGTGACAATCAACATTTTTTTTCTGATCTGGAGCACATATTGTACCCAGAGGTGAATGGGAATACAAGGAGATACTGCACTTACTTAAACAAGATTGTTTGTATCCTGATAGCAGTGTGGCCACAGCAGCTGTGTGTGCCT